CAAATTCTCTATTAACATGAAAATGAGATCCCAAATGTAAGCAATTGTCAGATAATCAAGTTTATTATGACGTAACTATCTGATAATTTGTTTCTGCTGTTTAAAAACATTTCAGAATTTTTCCATAAAAAAATTTGAAGCACAAAATGCGACATCAAAAACACAGTTAACAAACTGTTGCTGGCATGAGGTTGACAAATTTTACAGCATTACTCAACTGTGATTAGGAAAAGTGAAAGATTAATAGTGAGGAAAGGGGGAGAAAGAAAGTGGAAAGCCAATAAGTACTTCAACGTTTACAGCGGTACTTAAGTATTCAGTAGTTTTTACCAAACAAAATACCATAAAATCATCAAATTTTCCTGTCACGAAAAAATACACAAAAAAAAATCTCTTCTTTTTTTTCTGACATGAAATAAATAAGGAAAACGGTGATGGAGAAATTTAAACAAAAAGCAATGAAAACGAAAAGAAAAGAAAAGAAAGATTTCACTTTTTTGATTATATTTGATGTATTTTTTCAGATAGGAAACTGGTACTTTAGCGAGAAGTTGCTGATTAACTGCTTAATGATGAAACTTTTGGATCAAGTTGAACCGAAATTTAAACATAGTAAACAGTAGAGTCTTTAAAAAGGTTAGGCTTTGAAAAGCAATTTTTTGTCTAAGTGACACCTGTACACTGTACCAAAATCATCGTTATCGTTAGAATATCACCAGCGTAACACGTGAAAAGCGTCTACTTCGGCTATTGCAGAATTCAGTGAAGCCATAAGAGACCAGACAGGTCGAACTGTTCCACTTATTAGGCAGATACATGTTGACTATATCAATCATCCTTTGAGGCTTCTAATTAGAACTCTGGTTTTGGCATATGTTTTCTGCCATCTTGAGTATCGTCCCTATGACCCCTGGTTTGGAGAAAACAAATTGAAGGCAAAAGGAAATAACGTCGTTGCGAAATACAAATACGACATAGTTTATCAAATGTTGGCAGATAGACTGATTTTCAACTATTTAGTTTTCTTCTAGATTTGAATCATTTAACTGCAGGTTTGAGACAACTTCATCTGGTGTCAGAAGGGTAAACTTTCAAAAAAGTTTTAGTTGTGTTGTAACAAAAAAAAGATGGTTCTGAGGCATAAACTTATTACTCTTTTTAGGAAAATAAAAGAATAAAAGCTGGAAATCTCTTGAGTTACGCTTGATTAACGACCAATTTCATGTTAGCTTATGATTAAGAATATTTCTGTTTGAGAAAACTAAAAAACGAGGAAAATACCGCGATGGAAAAACAAATAGCAATAAATTCTGGATTTTCTTTAAAATGGAAAAAAATAAATTTCAATGGGTTTCCCAAACATTTATTCCGTTTTGCTTACTGAATAGTTTCAGTAGTCAATTTAAAAACAGGTTTTTTATAGAACTTAAAATTGCTGGTAAAAGGTGTCAAATGATGAGAATAAATGAATAACTACTTGCACCTTCGTTAACGGTTGCCTCTTTTCTAAACTATCATCAGTTTTTTTACTTTTATTATATTTTATATTTTTTGAATCCCTTGAATTTGTTTTTTCACAATTATTCGTGGATTTAAAACTGACTAATGTTTTTACTGTAAATATTGCTTATGCGTTTCTATGCTCACTTCGCCAATCGTCATCAGTCTTCGACTGTGTTGGCTGTTTGAAATTTGTGTTCATTTGACAAACAGCTGCGAAATTGGACATTTGCCCAATCAATGTAAAGTGGCAAAACGATACTGATATTAAAGGCTAAAAACAAAAACAATATTGCAGCCAAGAATTACAAGTAGTTCTGCTTTTTTCAGCTGGTAAAAAACGAAGCATAACGGTAACGCAAACACTGTTGTCTCTTTAACCAATGAAGTATCTGAAAGGGAAACTTGTTACATGTTCCCCGAGCCTTGGGACTTAAATGCTTACTTAAACGAAAGATGAAAGGAAAATGGCTTAAAGTACCTAGTAGACAGACTTTTTTGTTTCAACATAATACTTTAGTCGCATTATGTGCGCTGCAAATTGGGTGTAGCAAATTAAGCACGTCAGAGCAATAATAGTGTAAATACAAAGTGGCTACAGAAGTCGAAGCCAACGTCTTCGAGCATCTACAGTAACTGAGCTTCACAGATCCACATGTTCAGCAAACAGCTATCAAACTTCAATCTGACAGACATCATCAGACTATAGAGCAACCTCTTCAGATTAATACTCTGAAAAATGACATACACTTTTAAAGGTAACTTTCAAGAATTCTATGGTTTACAATAAAAATTAGGATTTAAGCATCCAACTTTACCACTTGCACTCTAAAAGCCGCAGTTAATGTTTTTTACAGTATTTGTATTTTGGAATGAAAAAAACGAATAGATTTTTTCTGCAAATAGATTTGCTCTTTTTTCTCGGCAATGTAAATTATTTGCATTTACCACAGAGTTTAGCTGGTGCTATTTTTTGAGACCAATGACAGAATTTTCTTTTTTAAAAGAAAGCAAAAAAGATCTAAGTTTGAAGTTGAATTTTTATTAAGTTAAGGGGTAATGCATTTCAACACCCAACAGATAAAAATGGAAAGTCAGACTAGAAAGGCATCAAATATATAGATGAGAAAAAGCTGAAAAAACATTGCTTATTAGGATTTGTAAACCGATAAGTTGAAGTGAAAGAATAGTTGAAATTGGTTGATACTAAATGAACAGTGGTGAATACTTAAAACAAATACGAAAATAACTAGGCAGTCAGTGTATCTAAGTTATCTGTTTTTTAAAACTAGCTATCATAATAATTGGAATCTTCAAACTTCAAAAGATCATCATTACAAGCGAATAGAACTAAGTCTTTGATCGCTTTCTTATGTATCGGGTATTTCGTTTTCACGATACCATACGCTTATCCATTCTAAAATATTCATAAATTACAGATTAGATATTTTTCAAACAAAAAGTATAAGTATCCTTATATGGCAGCAATAAACTAAACAACTGAAAAAAATCTCAGCTTTTTGAAAGGTATGCTTTTAACATTTGACCATTGTGAAAAATTTTCTTAAAATTGTCGAAATCACACTCTCTTTCCTCTTTGTCAGTCGGTTACCCAATGAAAGGAAGCAGTTTTCACCAAGTAAAAATAACTGGGTTACACGTAATAGCCAATCATTATTGGAAATTTGATGCTTCTTATGGTTCTAAACTCTCTTTGAGAATAGCGAAAACATAAACAGTAATCCCAATTGAACAAAATGATGATAAAAAGCATAAAATATTGGTAGTATTTCATGTTTAGGAAAAAAACGCAAAGCAAAAATATTTGGAAAAAAAGCAGAAGAATTTTTTAAGCAAAAATCTTTTGATCTGAATCAGTTTTTTCACCAAACATTAATAACAGTGACTTTTTAAATGACTTTTTATGGGAAAATTGTAGTAAATCATCTAAAATGAAGAGTTATTAGTTGTAACAATAACTCATCATATATGGTGACAGCAACAGCAACGTCATTTAAGATTAAGCTTTAAATTCCCAGACGGTCGTTTTCAATTAGTACTACAACTAAATTCTTGAACAAAATTTGACAGCATCTGCCGTATTTATAGATATTTCGCTAAATTCTCTTCGCGTCATTTGTCGCAACCGCTCGCGAGAGGCACTGTAGGGAATCTGTAGGCCATTGTAGCTCCCCGAGGGGAAGACAGATCACCTGAGCGGACGGAAATAGAGTATAAAAGAGGAATTACTCTTACTGCTATCCAGTGTTTGTGTATTTGTCAACATTGACATCGGCCTTATCATCCAGTGCTTCAAGCTACAAAACTTCATTTATCAATTTCTTACTCTCACTGCTCTATTTTATAATCTTGATACACCTTAATTTATTGTCGCTGCTTAACAAACCATCACAGGCTGGCGGGGATAGCGGCGACAATCACAAGACCTGGCCCCAAGCTGGGGAGGAAGAAGGTAAGTGAGAAGAACCGTAAGAAGCCGCGGGGGTTCGACCTTGATGGAGATGGCAGATAATCCGAGATCCAGAAGCTGAAAAGGGGAATAGTAACCCCGTCAAGAAGCCACAACCAATCCAGGAGCTATATAAAAAGAAAGTTGAAGCCAGTGGTGGGGGAATCAAAGTCATCTGCTATTGTTATTTTACCACTTTTTACTTCCTCGTTTTTAGTGCTTTATTTATTGGTTGTGTATTCACGTTTATGCCTATGTTTGCATACTCAAGTTTGAGGTTATATCGTGTTGTTCAAAGAAATAAACTATCGGGAATCAAGAACCGCAAGGCAGTGAGGAAAAAATAAACGAGGAAACCAGACCGTTGGAAGAATCAAGCCAACTTTGCTACGGAAGGATAATAAATACTACAAATATTTTTTATATTTATGTTCAGTTGACAGGTTTAGACCTCTTTAAGGTATTCAAGGGTTGTTGTTATATCCACTTACTGCCTCCAAGTCTTGCAAAGTCTGCTCTTGATCAATTAATTGTCTAAACAAGTCATTCAATTAATAGTACTGTCCCGGTTGTATATCGCTATGTTATAAACTGTAAAAAAAAAATTATTGTAATCAGACTTTTCTATATATTGGTGTGGCAAAAACACCTAATTAATTTACTACCTGAAAAAGAATACCCCTCACCAATAAAGGAGCAATAGCCGGAGTTTGATCCCTCGTCAGACGCAAAAAATCAAGCAATTAACACCTAATCCGACAATAAAAGCGCCATCTTTCCAGAAAAACGATGAGATCATTACACGGAAGAAAACAGAATTTCCCAGCTTTCAATCCGCCGCTTTTGAACCTAAGAAGCATAACGGTAAACAAACGGGCCCAAC